CTTTGCCATCTGCTACAGACGGCAAAGGGGTCTTTGTCGTGCGCTGGCAAATAGTAGACACCAAATGAGCTGTTTACCGTTACTTACTGTGTCGGGCATGTTTGCCGTCTGCGGCTGACGGCAAAGACCTTTGCCGTCCGCTTTTCGGTCCTTTGTCGTCTTCCAAATTCGCTAATTCCTGTAGTGTTACATTATTTGCATGTGCCTCTCATTTTCATCTTCCCCACTTCACAAAAATTTGTCGTTTTATTCGCCCTCTTTTCCATTCGCAATTTTCTCGTCAGATCTGTTTTTCGTGTGCAATTTTGTTTGTCACCTTTTGTCGTTGTGGATAGTTCTTCCTCTATTGCGTGCACCCCCGAAAACGAGGTTCTTAACTTCAAACAAAGGGGAGGGGAGAATTTAAAAGATGCTTGGTATAGGATTTGCAATGCTAATAATAGATCTATTCATAAGCAATCTACTGTTGTTCTTCTTTGTTGTTTTTATGTGGGCATCACCACCTGGTATAGATTCATCCTTGATACGATTACCGGTGGGAATTTCTTGATGTATCCTTCTCTAGATGCTTCTAATTCCATGGGGAATCTAGTGGGTTCACCACCTCTTATGATTAATGAAACAACTTTAACTCTCGAGCATGTTATGGAAAGGCTAGATTCTATTGAAAAGAAAATGCTCTTTTAGTAGCCCGAGATAGAAATTGATATTATTTCTTGGTTAGTTCGGCCCTTGAATCAACATGCTCATGTGTATGTACTTTGCCTTCATGCACTTCCAAGGGGGGAGGTTGTATATCCATACAAACATATGCCATGTGCTATGGTTGGTGTTCTGCTTGCCAAACAGATTCATGCCATTGGTACTCGCGCCAAGCACGATGTGACTTGGATCTTCTGCGAAATATCAATATTCAATGTTGAATGCTCTTCACTAGCTTGCATCCGTGAGGTGTCTCAGCTTCGGATCATGTCCATCGTCGGGCTTCAGCCTCTCCGCGTGCTAGCGCATGAGCTTTGCTTCCTTAGGATCTATGAAATAATGTTGCAGATGGGGAATTATCGGAAAGTACCATACATCTTTCTGAGGAGCTTTATTTCCGCCCTTCTTGTATCGAGAATCATTGCACACCGGACAACTGGTTTTTTCCGTGTGCTCCTTCCGATGAATGATGCAATCGTTGATACAAGCGTTGTATCTAATGTGCGGCGGATCAAGAGGGCGCACTATTTCCTTGGCCTCCTCGACACTTGTAGAACACAGGTTCCCCGCGGGAAGAACCTTTTTTAGATACTTCAAATGATCATCTAGGCTTCTGTCGGTCCATTTGTTTTTTGCCTTCATCTTTAGAAGTTTGAGCGTGAAACTCAAGCGGGTTACCTCGGGATCACAACCATCATACAATGGAGTCTTCGAGTCAACCTCTAGTTGGGCCAGCTTGGCCTCCTCTCTAGAAGCAGCTCTGTTGCTAGTCGTCTCCTTGCGAAGCAAGTCTCGAACATGAGGGTCCCCCACGACTGAACTTAGTAGCGATGAGGGCTGCGGCGGGTCTGTGTCTTCTCCGTTATGTCCGGCCTCTTCTCCAACGCCATGTCTGGTGCCCTCTTCTTCGGGTACATTATCGATCATCTCTTTGTCTGGCCCCATGTCGTTATTACCTGCCTCGTTGATGTCCTCATCATCTTCACTCATCCACCAAGTATAGCCATCGATGAATACAAGAGCAGGTGCGCCTTCAAATGGCCATCCTTAAAGGGGTCGAGCCAGACTCCAACTTTGCATTTTTGAAACGGACATAAATCACCTTCTGGTTATTTCCATACATGTCATGCACCACGGATCGCAACCATCTTTCCACCATCCTTGCACTTACCTTCTTCATGATCGCCTGCATGGACAAACAAAATAATTATTATCACGCATGCATATGCTTGCATCAAAGTAAAATTCAACCTTCCCTAAAAATTGGACATATCAAGTTTGCTTGAAATTAGCCGAAACGGAAATAAATTGACATTTCGGCAAAACGTAGGCAACTCATGTATGTCACACACACACACACACACACACACACACACACATTTCCGTTCATGCACACCGCTTATTTTTACTCACCTAGAGGTATCGAGTAGCGTGATGAGGCGGATGTCACTACTTACAGATCGATCTAAAGGGACAAATATCGATATTTAATTCTCCTTCTTGACTAATTAGGGAAAGTAGATTGCTTACTTCAGGAAATGAGAGGTAGGGAGGAGGGGAGAGAAAGGGTCATACTCCTCCACTTGCTACCTAGTAAGACAAACCTAGGAGTGGAGAGGGGACAATAAATATATGGAAGAGGAGAGAAAGTGAGGAAGGGTACATTAATGGAGATGGTGGAGAGGCATTAAAGGAGAGAGAGGGAGGAGGGGTAGAATTGAAGGAAGAAGAAAGAAAGCAAGTGGAGGAGGAAGGAGAAGGAAGGAGAAGGAAGGGGGAAAAGAAAGAGAGAGAGGGGGGGGAGGTGGTAGTTATTTTAGGCTACAACATCTTACCAGTAGCGAGGGCCTGCGTACCTGCGCAAGTACTATCCTGGTAGTAGTAGTGCTGGTTTACAACTGGCGTTGTTGCTAAGTGGGGCCCAGGAACTAACACCATGTGGGCATAGTGGCAGCGTGGTGTCCGTGACCCGTGCAACATCTATCTTCTTAGTAGTAGCGCGAGTTTTGCTGCCAGCGCTGCTACAACAGCTCCACCCAAGGGGCACCTTGGGCCCACTTGGCAGCAGTGCTTGTGGAGCAGACCAGCGCTACTGCTATTATGTGCCAGTAGCGCGGGGCGGCGACCATCGCTAATGCTAGTTAACAGTAGTGTGGGGTACTTAACCAACACTACTGCTAACCGTCTACCTATATTCTTTTCCCTAGTAGTGTCAGGTATGCATGTCATACAAGTTATAAGGTGTAGAGAAAGTCGGTCAAGTAAAGTGTGATTCTTAAGAAATGTGATTAAATTGTTAAACACTAAATTCTTCAGGAATTATAGTTAAAAATTGATCACAAGGATACCGACTTGATTGCATGTTGTTGCGAATCGATGCAAGAATTACTACGGCCTAATGACCAACAAATTAATGAGGTTAAAATATGTGTTGAAAATTTTATAGGTATGTTTTTTTTTCATTAACATATTACCTCTGAATTTATTGTCATAATTCATTTTAGAGTTTGTACACTCTAACCCATTGCATGGAAGTTGTAAGGAGGTTGTTCATAAGAGAACAATAGTTGTTCGATATTATGAACAAAAGGGTCATACTCCTAATATGAATAGGATGTAAGTTATGAATAGTGATGACAGTTAAACACCCATAACTTTGACGCTAAATGTCGTAAGACTAAAAGAATACCACACATGTGTGGCACTGCATTTAGTCATATTGGAGAAATCCACATGGAGAAATTACATAGTGATGGATTTTGGAGTCATATGATTATGAATCATCTGACACTTGCAATTTTTGTCCAAATAGTGAAGTAAACTAAAATACCGTTCATAGGCCATAAAGAACGAGCAACAAGATAATTGAAAATATGCATATTGATTTATGTAGTCCAATAAGTGTTGTTGCAAGCAGTGGATTTATCTATCTTCAACTGGGCAAGGATGTAGGTGGTGCAGGAAGCAAGGATGGCGGAGGAGCAGGCGGCATGGATGGCGCAAGGCCATTGATCCGGGCAGCCAGTGAGTGATCTGTCACGCTCGAACATTGATTTCATTTTGGCATATCCAGATTATTAAACTATGATTTGTTTTGATTTGTCATATTTGTTTCAAACTGTTGAGTTGAGATGATTCGTATCGTATCACCAACGTGCATGAATTGAATGGATTTGATGATTTTCGTATTTGAGGTGTAAGGGTGTGCGGCAGCCCAAATGAGGGGCCGTCCGGCGCTTTCCGCGGATGGGTGTGTAGGGGCCGGATTTGCCAATCCAGTTGTACATGTTCTAAGAAATGAAAAAAAAAGTGCGAAGGGGCATACAAGTACTTTAGAAATAGGGTCATTTTGGCGAATAAATACTGTAGATGCTATGAGGATCGGTCAGGACTCAGGAGTCGGGCCTCGGTCAGCCAAGACGAGAAAGGTACAAGGACCGCAGCGCTGGGCATCCGGCGCCCCCAGTCTGAGTTTTCACCATGCATGCATGCATGCAAAAGCAAAAGCCACGTTATTTACCGCGCGACAAGCACCCGCCGCGGCCATGCCGCCTTGCGTACGGGGCTCGCACACCTCGCTCCCCCGCCCCGGAGAAAGTCAGCGTCCGTCCATCCACCCGTCCATCGGCTTCCCGTTCCCGTGTGCACGCACATCACCCCTCCTTCCGCCCGTCCACAGAAAAATAATCCGGACATCGCTCTCGCCCTCCTGTGCCCCCTGATCTCGTCTGCCCTCACATACTTCTTTATTGTCCTTTTTGGAAGCCAACTCAAGTTACCCATCCATCCATCTCCATTTCGATCTGCTGCTAGCCTCGCTTGCTTGGTGTAAAGAAAAGATAGTTCCCTTTTTCCTTGGCCGCTACTAGCTGCCTAGCTAGCTAGGAGGAGTAGCCGGTTAGCCCATCATCCCTCTCACATCACATCCTGCTTCCCCTCCACCCTACCTCCTTTTTCTGCAGCCCCCGCCCGCAAATAACACCAAATAAACTTGCTAGCTTGCTGCTTGCTGCTCGCTTGAATGATTGCTACCTTCATTCTCCAAGCAGATCGGGCCAGCCCGCGTCTCCAGCGACACCTATATCATAGTATATAGCTAGCTCAATCGGCTTGCCACGATTCGGTCGATCCTTGGTGTGGAAGAGCATGCTAGGAAATTATTGAGCGGTTGGCGGTGAAGCTCTTGAAGCTCTTGCTCTTGCTTGCTTGCTTGCGGCGAGCATCCACTATAGAGGAAGAGAGATCGGCGGGCCGCGCAAGGAGTAGAGAACCCTAGCTAGCTTGCGCGCTCGCCAGCCATGTGCGACTACTTCCTCCAGAGGATGGAGGGCGACCAGGCCGGCGGCGGGGACCTCACAGACATCGTGCGGGCCGGCGGCGCCATGCCGGGCAATAACGACGGCGACGGCACCAGCCTCCCGTCCACGGCCGCCGAGTGGCAGCTGCAGCCCGCGGACCAGCCGATGCTGTTCCCGCCTGCGCCGCCGTCGGCGTCACCGGGGACCGGCGGCGACGTCTTCGGCGACCCTTTCGCGGGGCTCGGGGACCCGTTCAGCAGCGACTATTCGTCGGGCGGCCCCGAATTCCTGGAAGGCATGCCGGATGCCATGGCCAAAATCGGCTTCGAAGCGGGCCCCGGCGGCGGCGTCAACGGTTGCGTAGGAGGCGGAGGCGGAGGCGGAGGCGGTGGCCAGATGTTCGACATGAGCAGGAAGCCGCTCTTGCCGAGGGGGATGCAGATGATGCCGGCGGGAATCGGTGGTGGGATGGGGCCGAGGCTGATGCAGTCGTCGCTGTCGCCCATACCGATACGCCCGTACCCGGCCATGACCGCGGGCGACATGGTGAAGCTCGGCATCACGCCCGGGCAGGCGGCCGGGTGCGCCATCGACGCCGCTATCGGCGGCATGCAGATGTCGTCGCCGCGCAACAACAACAGCGGGATCAAGCGCAGGTTGGAACCCGGCAATACATATCGCCACCGGATAGAGCTAGATCTGAACCGATCCAAGCTAGAAATCATCGTCGCGTTGCATGCATACCTGCATACAGTAGTAGTAGATTTCGAAGGGAAATTTCTTCGCGCGCTCGCCCTTTTTTTCTTCTGCTCTTTAATTCGCCCTTCTTCTTTCCGTGTTCTTCACTTCACCATGAAGAGATCATTAGAGCGAGGTGAGGAAGTTCCGAGGATTTCTCGGGATGTGACCAGAATTAATCGGCAAGATTGTGAGTAGTGCCTGGAGCTCGAAGTTTTAGGCACAAGAGTCTCCGTAGCCACATGGTGATGGTGATGGTGATCGGCGCGAATATTTCTGAATTGCCAAGCAATGCCTCTGTGCGATCGAGGTCATGTCATGTGCATCTAGACCTAGCCACTTTTCTGTACCTCACGGCCGAGAAGCTCGGCTTTTGAAACCCTAAGCAATCGCGCTAGTGTGCTTTTTAGTTGGCTGCAAAGTTTTCATTAGATTTACTAGTATTTACTTACTTTGAAATGTCTTCTAATTTTTGTTTGTTTTGAAATGTCTGTATTTACTTGTAGTGATGCAACATCGCGTGTTCTTATTAACTTTTGATATCTATTTATGATGGCTTTGGGTTTTTTTTTCCTCGCCTATACGCATAGCTTTGGTCTTATATGACTTTGCTATTTGTCGGTGTTTGTGTGTGTGTGTGTTGGTGTTGGCTGTGCGCATCCTAACTTTATGCAGAGGCCGGGTGTGTGCTCATCCTGTTTGCATCTCTTGATGCTTCATTTTGAGTCAATAAAATTCATCATTTATCGAAAAAACTTGTAGTGATGCAACATCGCGTGTTCTTATTAACTTTTGATATCTATTTTGTGGTGTTTGTTGTGATATTTATCCCGTTTGTTGTGATATTTCTATCTATGTAATCAGTGATAACTTACCCCATTGGTCTATGTGCACAGAAAGAACCAGGCAAGGAAGGTGGTGTGCATTCCGGCACCGACAACGGCGGGTTCAAGACCAACCGGGGAGGTGGTTCCTTCTGATCTCTGGGCATGGAGGAAGTACGGCCAGAAGCCTATTAAGGGCTCTCCTCACCCAAGGTATGTACATATACTACATGAATTACTAATTAATTAACAAAATAATTTGATTATATTGGATCGATGCATAAGCATGGTGCTTCTAGGCATTACAAGTCGTTGACATATTTTCATCTAATTAAAAAAACATTTCTAGCATTGCATCGAAGTTCGGGTGCTTAATTGAGGATGAAGCTTCTGATGTGATAAGAGTAAATAATCTTGGTTACACGCATGGTCCAACATTATATAATTCCTCAGCTCCATATTGTGTCTGCATGATCGATGCATGAACTCGCGCGCTGAAATTAATTGGAAGATAAACAAATGGGTACCTATCTAGCTAGAAAATCAACCCTCGGTCATGCATATATAGTTCCCCCTTCTTTAGAAATGTCATTTTGGGGGTGCACACATCACAGATAACAGAGAAATAATTTGTGCCATTGTGTCTACCAAGATAGATGTAGTTGAATATGAGTGATATTCACTTATTCTTGTTTGGCACATATAATTTAAGCATGCCATGCCACTTTGAATAGAAATGAAAATTCTTTCTACTTCGATTTTCAATAACAAGTGGCCCACCACTGGCTAGATTGAGTTTAAGGCCTCCTTGCAAATTCTCATACATGTGATATACTCATCTTTCGTAAATAATTAATACCAATTTTAAGGAGCTGTCATAAATCTACAAACAGTTTAGGTCTCAATCGACTGAGGTTTTCTTATATTAAGTATCAGCCAATTCAAAAGCCGGAAAGGTGTGGTGCCTAAAACTATTGAAAACAGCATCCAAAATTTCTGAACTTTTTTGACATCAAACATGATCAAATTTATGAGGTGCTTGCAAAATTTCATCAACAAATAATATTCGAGGAGCTCTCGACAAAAAGGCAAAATCACTGCTCAAATAGTGCACAAAACATTGGACTGTGATTTTTTTTTCCTGTCGAGAGTTCCTCGAATGTTTTTTGTTGACGAAATTTTGCAAGCCCTCATACATTTGATGATGTTTGATGTCGCAAAATTTTGGAATTTTGGATTTTGTTTCATAGTGTTTTTCCAATGTGCCGTGCACCTGGGAGTAGAAAAACCACTCTAAAAGAAAGTGCATTTTTCCCTGAACAAGTTGCACTTTTCCTAATCGATTAAAACAAAAGAAAATTAAGATTAGACAGACCCATTCACAAAGGCATCAAATTTTAGTTTACATTTCATTCGTATTTTTACATAAGCACATATCAATAAAGAATCTGGCCTTTTTTAGCCCAAATTTTTGTAATGCCCAGGAGATTTTGGTAGCTAGCAGACAGCACGCAGCATTGTTACTACATTTGCTTATGAAAAACCAGACACTAGTACTACACGGAGTGGACTTACTACGTACATTCTGGCTTAGCAAAATAAAGTTGGCGCAGGCGCACAGCACTAGTTAAGGAGGCCTAGTGTTAGTACATGCAGTACTGCTATACAATATCTAAAGTTCTGAAGCAAATGATGAAGGTACATGATGAGACGATCGAGTCTAACCAAAGTTCTTGTTGATTTCAATGAATAGAGGGTACTACAGATGCAGCAGCTCGAAAGGGTGTTCAGCACGAAAGCAGGTGGAGCGCAGCAGGACTGACCCCAACATGCTTGTCATCACCTACACCTCCGAGCACAACCACCCATGGCCGACCCAGCGCAACGCGCTCGCCGGCTCCACCCGTTCTCACCACGGCAAGAACGGCGGTGGTGGCGGCAGCGGCTCAGGTTCCAAGAGCTCGCACAACGAAAAGCAGCCTCAGAATCAAAACGTCAAGGAGGAGAGAAAGGATCACCGGGCCGCAGAGACAACGACGGCGACGACGACCACCAGCACAGTCACTACCACGACCAGCACTTCTCCCGTGGTCGTGAAGGAGGAGACGTTGGCTGGATCATCGTCGGAAGCGCAGGCGAGAGACCAGAGAGCCATGGACACTGTGGCAGGAGTACTGCATCAGGTCGACCACCGTGAGCTCATGGACCACGTGTTCAGCGAGAGCTACAGGCCTATGATACCGGGGTCCGGCCAGCACCACGAGGACTTCTTTGCTGACTTCGCCGACCTCGCCGAGCTGGAGTCAGACCCCATGAGTCTCATCTTCTCCAAGGAGTACATGGAAGCCAGGCCAAGCGGTGGTGCCGGCGATCATGGTGGCCAGGAGAAGGCGGTGGCCAAGGAGCTGGATCCGTTCGACATGCTAGATTGGTCCACTACTTCTAGCACCGCAGGGAGCACGTTTGAGCAAGGGAAGAGAGGCTAAATTACTTGAGGCAGGGTTTACGCATACGGTTACACACACATGAGATCTCCAGCTAAATAACCTTGAAGATTAACTACCACAAGGTCAGCAAGGAAGAAAGATGAGACTTGTTTTTCTTCTACTTTGTTACTTTTCTTATGTTTGTTCTCTGCTTCTTCTTATTATTGCTTGTGAGAGAGATTGATTTTTTGTTCAAAGTCTAGGATATGAACGGCCTTAGGTTTGTGCCAACTTGTACTTATGCATGCGATGAGGATCATCTATCTCTCGATACTGTCCTCTTCATCTGCGCTTGTGTGTGTTTCTAGCTAAGAGTGTCGTTTATTATGGTTATATATCTAACAGAATAAGTAGTATGTACTATTTAACGATGTTGAAAGTGTTTGGACAAGAGGAGAGATCAATGTGGGCCGTGATGAGTGTGATAGATGGATGAGTAGGAGACCCACGCCCTCGGAGGGGATGTGAGCGTGACAGAAAGAAATCTGGGGCATGCGCTAGCGTTGCAACGGAAGCGCTATGCGGCTATGCCATCCAGCTCAGATGGCAGAACAGTACATGTCTCGCGCGCCGATGAGAATCTGAATCAAAATAGGGGAGGGAACACTAGCTGGCCTCTTGCTTGCAAGATGAGGGCATATGTTGGATTCGCTAGCTCGACTGGAACGGTAGTACATATTTTTGTCTCTGCGCTGCGCCAAAGAAAAAGTACTGCATTTACTTCCTCTGTTCTCCTGAATTGTACATATGTATATAGTACTCTCGACTCATCACGGGCGCGCGCGTACCGGCAGTGCGTATGCATACGTCGTACATGCATAATATATCAGTACATGTGATATGATACTTAAAACTACTGGTGCAGGAGTATACTACGTACATAAACTAGCACCTGCATATGCCCTAGCTTGCTGGCTGCATTCTCGCATCAACATACGTGTACTGTGCGCATATGCATGGGCATGCAGGGAGTATGTGTGCACTTTGGTACAGGGTGCGTATGTAGCACATACTATATCTAACCGGCTTTCATTTGCCCCACAGGATTAATACCTTTCCGCATCCATCTATAGTGCTGCACAAGTTTGTAGGGGCACTGGTTTTGAATACGTGCCCTGCTCATCGGCTCATCCTTGTGTTCACAGTTGATATCTGAATGCTTTGCGTGTAGAAAGCGAGAAAGATACCAGTGCATGACTGTCTGTTGTGGACTGGTGACCATGTGCCATGCCTCTCGAAGTACAAGTTCATCGCCCAACTTTTTTCATGTTTTAGATTTTGGATAAAGTAGGCCGTGCAAGCAACTTGATAAGGTACTCCCTCCATTCGGATGAAATAAGGCGTATTTCGTTTTGTTAAGACAAGAATTTGACCAATAATTACTTTTTAATATTTGATTTATGTGATACAAAATCACTACATGAGAAAGTGCTTTTAAATACGAATCTAGTGATTCATGCCATATATCTTTGTATTTATGGCGTAATTGGTCAAATGCATGTCTTAACGAAACAAATATGCCTTACTTTTAGGAATGGGGCTAGTATTACAAGTTTACAACCAAGAGATCTCGAGTTGGAGATAAATAAATGCACCTTGTATCAAATCCATGTCTTCACAAGATTATTTTTTTATTGAAAAGGAGGTTAAACCTTTGCATCTGCATTATTGTGATCCACACAACCATTTTTGTTAGAGCATCTCCAGTCGTTTGGCCCCCCAGGGCGCCGAAAAAGAGCCGCCTGGGGGCGAGCCAGCGCTAGATTGGCGCATGGGGGTGACTTTGTTCCCAATCGTCGGCTCATAGGTCGCTCCGGGTTCAGCGATGTTCCGTACAAATATATGAAAACTCGGCGATTTTGGCACAAACTCGGCGAAACTTCATTGAAATTTGTACAAAAAACATGAAAACGTGTGAACTACGCATAAACTACGCCAAACTACGTCTAGCCGCCACCGCCGCCGCCACCGTCGTCGTCTACATGCTGAAAAGCCTGTGGAAGCAGGTGTAGTCGCCGCCGTCGCCATCATTGTCGTCGTTGTCGTTGTCGCGTGCCTCGCCTGTGCCGCCGCCGTCCCTGCTCTTAATTACTGAGAGAAGTACAGAACAAAGGTAACCACGTTGATGCCTTCTCACCCACCCAGGTTTAAGACATGGTATTTGTAATTTGGGTTTGTTGCACCAATTATACTATGGTGGGAAGGGGTTGATGCCTAGCCACCCACCCAGATTCAAGGCATGGTACTTGCAATTTGGGTTTGTTGCACCAATTATACTGTAGGGGATTGATGTCTTTCCACCCACCCAGGTTCAAGGCATGGTACTTGCAATTTGGGTTTGTTGCACCAATTATACTGTAGAGGTTTCCTTACAATCTTTCTATCAAAAAAGAAAGGTAACCACGACTGAACCATTGCAAGACATGAAATAAAGACCTACAACTAAGATATATGTATATGTATAAATTACATTCTAGAACCATCGAATAAATCAAGAATTATGCATGCACCTTTCAAAGTCGCAAAAAAATGCACATTAATTCATCTGCTTCCAACCGTCCTGATAGGATTTCCTTTCATCCTACTTAGGCCAACTCTAGCCGATCTCGTATAAAATAGAGGAGGATCTGGCCGAGTAAAGTTTACTGGAGTATATTTACTTCACTAACGTTTGGCCGGACCTAGCCGATCCATTAAATATAATAGAGTATAATTTTGTTTTTTTAACTTATGCAATTCTAGTTTACATTGTAGCCACATATTAGCACACATATAGAAACTAAGCATAAATATGAAGGTTCAAGAAATCACGAATATAGCTTACAAACCGGATTTAGAATTTATTAACTGAATTATTCAAATTTAAACACACCGAATGGTTCAAATGTAGCAAATAACATGTACAACCACAACTAGTAAGTGCTATGAAGTTGCCAGTGATGCTCAATAGATCTTCTTGGAGTTGGATATGAACTTGTTAGTTTTTGATCATGCGATGCCCTTCAAGGAATGCCTAGATCTTATTTGGATCGTACTCTGGCTCAACAGGAGTCCTGTTGGTGATGCATCAAAAGTTCTCGGGCATATCTCTCTCTCATTTTCAATGATCATGTTATGCAATATGATGATACAAGTCATGCTTTGCCATAGAACCTTGGAGCTCTAGTACTCGGCAGGGCCATGAACAATTGCAAAGCACTTTTGAAGCACACCGAAGGCTCTCTCCACATCTTTCCCAGCCGCTTCTTGACATTGGGAAAAGTGAAATATTTTTGTTACCTTTTGGAGCAGAATTGTTTAACTATGTGGCCCATGGGGGATAGATGTCATCCGCAAGGTAGTGACCCATTGAGTAGTTGTGCTCATTGACTGAATAGTTGCAAGGAGGATCATCTCCTATAAGAAGCCTAGCAAACAGTGGTGATCTCGACGGCACATTCAAGTCATTGTGAGAGCTAGGCAAACTAAATAATGAATGCCATATCCAAAGATCCTTCATTGCAACTGCCTCAAGAATGATCGTTGGATTGCTGCAATGGCCTTTGTACTGACCTTTCCACCCTGCAGGACAGTTCTTCCAGGTCCAGTGCATATAATCAAGTGACCCAAGCATCCCTGGCTATCCTCTTAAATCACCCTCTGCCATTGGACTCTAGGTGTCTTCCGCGTTGGGAGCCCTCAAATACTCTGGTCCAAAAACATTCATAACCGCTTTAGTGAACCTTCGAACGGCCTCCAAGATTGTGTCTTCACCAATGCGAACATAGTCATCTAATGCATTGGCCAAACACTCATATGCCAAAACTCACCTAGGAAAATCGTCGAATACTTGCCAGGTGGTGGTGGTGGACCAACCGGCGATGTTTAGGCCAAACCAGCAGGTGGTGACGGGTGGGAATGACCTGCAATGGTGCATAACCACGGTCAGATGCGGCAGCCGCCAATGAGGAAAAAGATTCGAGAGCAATCCAACGAACCAGTTAAGGCGACGACGGTGATTCACCCTGATTCCGGCGACAGCGATGGCCGGAGAAGAACGGCGAGGGCCAAAGGAGGCTACGAGGTAGCGGCAGGGGCGGCGGACCGTCGTCGGGAGGTGCGCTGGCGAAGAGGCAGTGGGTGTGCGAAGGCGCGTGAGAGGTAAGAAAATTTACTCCAGCGGCCGCAGCCGAACATATTTAGGCGCCAGATAGGAGCTGGAGTATTTTTTACTCCGTTATCCGATTTAGGGGATCAGCTACGTGCCGACCTTTTAGGGGTCGGCTAGAGTTGGCCTTAGCGTCTTTGATTCATAGGAATAGTGGAGGAAAATGTAGGAACACAAAAGTATCCTATAGTAACACTATTAATCCATTTGATTCAAATGAGTGGGTTGTAGGAAAAATGGAGGAACTTTCCTTTGATTTGGGTTTCATGGAAAAAACAAAGGAATTTGACAATCCACTCAAGCCTCTTTTTTAGTTTCCTGTGTACAAAGAACAAGGCAATGACCATAAGAAATGCAATACCAACAAATCTTACTTTTGCATGTGTTATAGTCTTACCAACATGTGGTTAGATGGTTTGGAGCACAAAGGTATCTCCAGTCCACGAGAGTTCATGATTGTGTTCGCATTTTCCTGGATTTATTTCAGGTCTTCCGACGATGTGCGTCCAGTGGGAGGAGATGTTCCTGTCGAATATGAATGCGTTTGTGGCAACTTTGTTAATCTCAAGATGATGTGCCGATTCAGTCTGTCAGAGGTGCTCATAGGAGTAGGATATGTGTGTGTGTGTTTGTTCGTAGGGATGAATGTATGTGTATATGTATGAGCGCCTGCGTCTATATTGTGTTAAAGAAAGTCTTAATTTGACTATGTATTTTTGCATTCTTGTGTCTTTTATACATGCGACTCAAACACACAATTCTGTTAATTCGTGTTATTTTACAATCCTTTGGTTTTGCACATGCAGTTCTATCTTATTCATGTGTTTTCACTATTCCTGTATATTTGAAATCA